TCCTGTGTCCTTATTGTCAGTGATGCATCTTCTAGCAGATAACTGGCCAACATAAATTACTTCATGTCAGAAGTTTTATCTGCAACATAAATGATAGCAGAATCGTTTTCGGCCATCTGAACCATCTACAATAAAAGTCAGACTTTGGTGTCAATCCAATAGCAATAACTTAGATACACGTTTCTCCACTTTACAACACCCTCAGTAGATAAGAGTGAAATGCAGCCACAAGAAGACAGGCTACATGTTGCTTAAATTCCAAGGAGGCAACATCATCTTCAGTTGAGCTTTACTTAGTTCAATTGCAAGCAAGGGTCCAAACTACAATCAAACAAATACAACCAGGCATTAGTTGGTTAGAGGAATACTCTGTTACAGTAAAAGTCCTGCATTCAAAATGTTACTCAAGTAACAGTAGAAGTACTCAGATCTTGGACTTGAGTAAAAGTAGAAGTACTCTGATCTTGTACTTGAGTAAAAGTAGAAGTACTCTGATCTTGTACTTGAGTAAAAGTAGAAGCACTCTGATCTTGTACTTGAGTAAAAGTAGAAGTACTCTGATCTTGTACTTGAGTAAAAGTAAAAGTACTCAGAACTTGTACTTGAGTAAAAGTAGACAGATATTGTACTTGAGTAAAAGTAGAAGTAGTCAGATATTGTACTTGAGTAAAAGTAGAAGTAGTCAGATCTTGTACTTGAGTAAAAGTAGAAGTACTCTGATCTTGTACTTGAGTAAAAGTAGAAGTACTCAGATCTTGTACTTGAGTAAAAGTAGAAGCACTCTGATCTTGTACTTGAGTAAAAGTAGAAGTACTCAGATCTTGTACTTGAGTAAAAGTAGAAGTACTCTGATCTTGTACTTGAGTAAAAGTAGAAGTACTCAGAACTTGTACTTGAGTAAAAGTAGAAGTAGTCAGATATTGTACTTGAGTAAAAGTAGAAGTACTCTGATCTTGTACTTGAGTAAAAGTAGAAGCACTCTGATCTTGTACTTGAGTAAAAGTAGAAGTATTCAGATCTTGTACTTGAGTAAAAGTAGAAGTACTCAGAACTTGTACTTGAGTAAAAGTAGACAGATATTGTACTTGAGTAAAAGTAGAAGTAGTCAGATATTGTACTTGAGTAAAAGTAGAAGTAGTCAGATCTTGTACTTGAGTAAAAGCAGAAGTACTCTGATCTTGTACTTGAGTAAAAGTAGAAGTACTCAGATCTTGTACTTGAGTAAAAGTAGAAGCACTCTGATCTTGTACTTGAGTAAAAGTAGAAGTACTCAGATCTTGTACTTGAGTAAAAGTAGAAGTACTCTGATCTTGTACTTGAGTAAAAGTAGAAGTACTCAGAACTTGTACTTGAGTAAAAGTAGAAGTAGTCAGATATTGTACTTGAGTAAAAGTAGAAGTAGTCAGATCTTGTACTTGAGTAAAAGTAGAAGTACTCTGATCTTGTACTTGAGTAAAAGTAGAAGTATTCAGATCTTGTACTTGAGTAAAAGTAGAAGTACTCTGATCTTGTACTTGAGTAAAAGTAGAAGTACTCAGATCTTGTACTTGAGTAAAAGTAGAAGTAGTCAGATATTGTACTTGAGTAAAAGTAGAAGTAGTCAGATCTTGTACTTGAGTAAAAGTAGAAGCACTCAGATCTTGTACTTGAGTAAAAGTAGAAGTATTCAGATCTTGTACTTGAGTAAAAGTAGAAGTACTCATATCTTGTACTTGAGTAAAAGTAGAAGTACTCAGATCTTGTACTTGAGTAAAAGTAGAAGCACTCAGATCTTGTACTTGAGTAAAAGTAGAAGTATTCAGATCTTGTACTTGAGTAAAAGTAGAAGTACCAGAGTGTAGGAATACTCTGTTACAGTAAAAGTCCTGCATTCAAAATGTTCCTCAAGTAAAAGTAGAAAAGTATTATCATCAAAATATAGTGAAAGTAGCGACAGTAAAAGTAGTCATTGTGCAGTAGAAGGACAAAGAAGCATAACATGGAAATACTCAAGTAAAGTACAAGTACCTCAGAAGTGTACTTAAGTACAGGACTTGAGTAAATGTACTTTGTTATTTCCCACCATCAAACTAAAATGGAGGTCGATTGTGTCTGTCCTTTAAAATGTAAAACTTCATCTGATCGAGGTTCGTGTGCTAATCAGGACTTTGAACAATCGTTTTAAACATATTCGTCATTGGCAATGTCCGACTTTGGCATTTGTGTTTTGTCTGTTTTTTTTTCAACCACAAGGTCGGTTCAAAAACGGTCTTGAAACAAATGCGGCTCGACATCAACCGTACATCAATTTCTCTGGTTCCCTCGCTCTAATCAGGTCCTGATGCTGCTCTCTGTTGAGGCCTCACAGTAATGGATGTTGATGCATGCCTTTTGGATAGAGCCTCCAGCTTATTCTTGTGGTGTTCAGTTATGGAAACTAAGTAACAATTTTATTATGATTTATGGTCAAATGGGGAGAGGCTGGAAATACATGTTTAGGACACGTTTTTCAAACATCTGATTCCTTTTATTGGAGAAATATATTTTACATTCAGTTGGTAACGTTGGTGCATTGGTCTGAGCCAAGCCCTTACAAGAAATAATGTAAAAAGTCAAACTGGAATTCAATTATCGGCTGCCAGACTTCCTTTTGTAAATTAAAAACACGTTTCGAGGGTGACTGTACGATTTGTCTTTTTTGTTTGAAGAATGATTTGGGACATGTTTCAATGGGGACTTGTACTGTACACGATGGCCGACAGGTGCAAATGCATTACAGCCCAAAACTCTTCCATTAGGAGAAACCACTGCAGTTTAAAAAACAATGCAAATAAAAAAAAAAAAAATGTGCCAAAACACATGCAAATGAAGGCATGACTGTCACTGGAAACTCACCTAAAATATATGTTTTATTGGCTTATTTTAACAATGTGATCACATGATTCCTTCTAATATAATGCAGATCTGCTGTAAGCTAGCTAGCTAACCTAGTTGACGCCATTTATACTCACAAAATACTTACTGTTGGGGAAATATTTTCCAAGGCCCATAACTTTGACCCAGTGTATCAGTTCTGTCCTGACTGAGCACACGCACCTGTAACCTTGGCTGCTGTGCTCTCAGTGCTCTGTCTCCCTGCTCCTGCCTGTTGGCGTCAGCTGATAGAGGTGTTATGATTCTATCTTGTTATGCATAATGTTGATTATTCTCTCTGAACTAGCTAAATACACGGGTCTGGGGTCGAGTTCTTCAGAATTGACGTGGCAACTCTACCGTGAAGTCAGAACCTCTGACTCTTTGACATGTTTTGTGAATTCTCCGGCCGAAGCTCCAAATAAACCCGTCAATGTTTGCCATCAAAGCTCCAGCTCTCCCCGTGTCTCTCTGAGTCCTGACTCCAATTGCTTCAGAAGTTTCCCACACACTTACAATTATGAAACAGACTCACAGTGACGGTTGGCTATCTTCATAATCCTGAACGTCAACAAGCACTCAGGTCCCAGCTGTGTGCATCACTTTATTGTTTCCTTGTTTCCGTTGTGTTTGGAGCTTCTTGCAGCGTTTCATTAATGTGGCGCTTTTGGTAAAAGCTGCTCACGTTTTTCGTAAAAGTCGGTGAAGATGTTTTCTCATTTGCAGTGAGGTGTTGTAGCGTGATTACATGTATGCTACTGTACTTGTACACACCTTAAAACAAACTTAAGTTTCATTGCAAGTAAAAAAATCGAATATAGCGCTGTGTGTCATCAGCATATTAAGAAAACATTGTTTTGGACCCTTGCTTTAATTTACAAAGCAAGCAAGGGTCCAAACAACAACCAAACAAATACAACCAGGCATTAGTTGGTTAGAGTGAAGGAATACTCTGTTACAGTAAAAGTCCTGCATTCAAAATGTTACTCAAGTAACAGTAGAGGTACTCAGATCTTGTACTTGAGTAAAAGTAGAAGTACTCAGATCTTGTACTTGAGTAAAAGTAGAAGTACTCAGATCTTGTACTTGAGTAAAAGTAGAAGTACTCAGATCTTGTACTTGAGTAAAAGTAGAAGTACTCAGATCTTGTACTTGAGTAAAAGTAGAAGTACTCAGATCTTGTACTTGAGTAAAAGTAGAAGTACTCAGATCTTGTACTTGAGTAAATCGAATATAGCGCTGTGTGTCATCGGCGTATTAAGAAAACATTGTTTTGATGATAACCTAAACTATGTGAGCATATAACTGAACACTATTATTGGGAGATAACAGGGACAGAAGAAGCCATATAAAGCAATAAGTGTATACCTCACAAAATCTAAGGTATAAAATCAAGACAAAGCGAAAGATAAATGCCACAAAAGTCTTTTTAAAGATGTGCACTGATATGGTTTCTCTTACACTCGATAGCAACCTAAACTAATTACAGTCCAGATCGGTCCAACGGTTCAATAATAAGATATAAACAGGCATTTTGAATTAATTGTTTCATGTTGTCATTCCAGGTTAAGTTGAGCTAATAAATCTAATTGTATCGCAGCATCTAGGTGTGTTTCTCCCACAGAGAACATAACTCTGCTGCAGGACTGATCCAGATGCACAAATCAGACACGCCTACTGTTCGGTCAAAGAGTTTAAACAACTACATGATGGAGCTTAATTGGATGTTATTTTATATTTAAATGCAAAGACAGGGACTTTATCTGAAATCCACAATGTGAATATTGTGTGATCTTCAGGTATGTAGGGTAACTGCACTAAGAACAAGAGAAGAGGAAGGATAAGGGAGGAATTTAAAGTCTGAAATTAGACAAATGAGGCGAATAAGAAGCAGCAGAAATAAGTGAGAGGTGAGATGAGTGTGAAAGAAGAAGAGAATGAGGGAGGGGAGTTGAGCCGAGTGTGAGAATGACTGAAAATGCATAAGCAGGGTGGGAGGGGAAGACGGTACGACAGAAAAAGAGAGGTGGTGGCAGTGAGTGAGTGAGTGAGAGATGGGCAGGGAGGTATAAAGAGAGGGACTGAGGGAGGGAGTAATATAAGAGAGGCAGCCATAGAGGGAGAGGTGACAGAGTAGATTATCCTCCTCTCTCTGCCTCATCATGTTCATGCTGCAGATGTTGACTGTTATCTCTCTGACTGTTATTCTCCTGGCATCTGTGGAAGGTAGGACACAACCATGCTTACTATGTGTGTGTGTGAGAGCGTGTGTGTGTGTGTGTGTGTGTGTGTGTGTGTGTGTGTGTGTGTGTTGCATAGCGTGCATGGTGCAGGTGGACAGCAAAAGAGAGCTATGGCGAAGACAGAAAAGAGGGATAGCAGCAGCAGCAGGGAGGCAGGAGAATGAGCATCTTAAATCAAACAACACAGTGTGTGTGTGTGTGTGTGTGTGTGTGTGTGTGTGTGTGTGTGTGTGTGTGTGTGTGTGTGTGTGTGTGTGTGTGTGTGTGTGTGTGTGTGTGTGTGTGTGTGTGTGTGTGTGTGTGTGTGTGTGTGTGTGACGGCGTCCTCCTCTCTGTTTTCTGAATGTTGTGGCAGCGTGGTGATGATCTGAAATCATGTGTGTCCTAATTTACAGCTCTCACTGCTCCTGCTGCTTCCATCACACTTTCATTTGTTTACACATTTGCTTTGGATGAACAGGCATCATGGCACCCCCTCCACACACTCCCCCTCTCTTTCTCTCACTTTCCCTGTCTCTCATTTCACTGCCAGGGTAGTATGTTTGCAGCACAATGGGATGCCATTGTAATTCCTCTGACATTCTTGTGTGTAATTGTGTGTATCCACATGTGTGTGTGTGTGTATGTAACTCGATGGCATGCGCACATTCTGCACAACAGATTACATTTTGATGGGAACTAAAGCTGTTTTACTCTCTGGTAACATCCAGGTATTGACTTCATAGTGTCTACAAACATGATGCTGCACAGTAAATATGAATTAAAAAAGGTTTCTGTATCTAGTGCTCTTTGTATTTGTGCAATAATGCAGACTGTGGGAAACTTTTGTGGCTGTCAAGATGTTCTTTTCTCACTTGAGACTAACATATTTTCACTTCGAGATCACCTGGTGAAGTAAAGCTATAAAAAGGTGTGAATTAAACACAGGAAGCCAACATAAATAATTGAGCCTGACACACAGGAACTTCACTATAAAACTGTTAATTGCTTTTGTTTAACACCTTTTCCTAATGTTTTTTGCTCTTGTCCCCCCCCCCAGGTAAAGGTGTGCAGATGCAAAGGGATGTCCAGTGCTGCATGTTGTACTCCCAGGGCAAGGTGCGTACCAAAGATGTGTTGCGGTTTGAGGTGCAGACGGAGGGGCCCGACTGCAGTATACAAGCCATCATGCAAGTATTTCAACTATCCACTCCTGGAGCTAAAGAGCAATCTGCAGGCATGGAAAATATGCCTCTCGTTAGAGGAGGGCAGAGCTGAGAGACATTGTCATCTTTCCAGGTCATGTTGTTATGGCAGGGCTCGGAGCTGCATTTGCCAAGGAAGTAAGAAAGGAAATATGTGGGAATAACAAGCGATCTGAAAATACCTTCCGAGCCAGCTGAGCCCCGCCGCAGCCGTCCAGTCAGAACAGCAGGCTTTAGTTAAAGTAAACCCCTCTGCATTGTGATACCTATTGTTTCCAGCAGGTCGGGGAAATCTGATGTAGCTGGGGAATGAGGAGCTTGTTTTCCGTTAACAAAAACATAGAATTCTTATAGAGTGGATAAAGAAAGTTCCTTTGGTCTTCTATTTATCAGCGAGGCTACCACCATTTGTTCATGTTTCTTCACTTTTGCACTCAGTTCGACTTCTTCCTAACATTGTTTGACTTTATTTCCTGTCATGTTACAGAAGGTTGTGATTCAGGCCTGACATGTGTCTTTTTAGTCGTCCACATTATTGCTGATTCATTGTTTTTTTTGCCAATCTAGTGTTTCCGGAAACCTTGTACTGCCATCCTGTGTTGTGTAATAACCATTGTGTGTTTGTTTTAATAGTATTTACACGAAGAAGGCGGTGAAGTGTGCAGACCCCAGAGACCGGAAGGTGAAGAGGTTGCTGAGAAAGCTCCTGCAGAGACAGAGAACCAAAGCCCGCCGGACCATGTGGCTTCTTCCTCACGACAACCTGCCCGTCATGGCGGAGGTAATGTGACCTCCAGAAATACACAATATGTTCAATGTAATACCAGTGGTGTAAAGTAACTAAGTACATTTACTCAAGTACTGAATTTAAGTATAATTTGAGGGACTTTACGTGGGTATTTCCATTTTGTGCTACTTTGTACTTCTACTCCAAAATCTGAGGTAAATGGTGTACTTTTACTCCACTACATGTATGTAATACCTTTAGTTACTTTACAGATGTGGATGAATGAAGTGAAATATAATCAAGTGTTAAATCAGACTTTAGTTCCACCTGGAGTAAATCCACAAGCTACCCTGCAGTATACAAAGTCATTCAAACTAGCTGCACCTTTACCAGCTTTGAGAACACTTTGATGATCAATCATTATAAAACATATCATATATATTATTCTGAAATGGACCAATCTGCACAATGACTACTTTTACTGTCGCTACTTTCACTATATTTTGATGATAATACTTTTCTACTTTTACTTGAGTAACATTTTGAATGCAGGACTTTTACTGTAACAGGGTATTCCTACACTCTGGTACTTCTACTTTTACTCAAGTACAAGACCTGAGTACTTCTACTTTTACTCAAGTACAAGATCTGAGTACTTCTACTTTACTCAAGAACAAGATCTGAGTACTTCTACTTTTACTCAAGTACAATATCTGAGTACTTCTACTTTTACTCAAGTACAAGATCAGAGTACTTCTTCCACCCCTGATTAATACCATAAATGTAATCAAATCAAATTGATCCAGCAAATCTAAGCTATCTAAGGTGGTTGTTTTATGATATTAAGGGAGTTTTGCATGCCATTTCCTTACATTTCCTGCTCTTGTGTTTATCAGGACAAGAAAGATAACTGGGCGGCTCTGAATGTGGAGTGATGGAGGGCCGTCAAATATGGAGGAAAACTCATAGTCATAAGTACGTTTGTTTCAGTGCAAGGAATTTATGTGTGAAAGGTACCTCTGTCAAATGTCTAATCCCACATTTATGCTTACCTTTCCGCAGGCCAAGTAAACTTTCAGCAGCTCGTCACCTTTCCCCGGCGCAGCCTGCTGACTCCAGTCGTCTTGTGTCTCTATCTCTTCACTATCTGTCTCCCGGGGACCAGACCTGGGCAGCAATACATATTTAAATGGCTTTAGATATTTAAACATGAACTCTGCTTGAAATATTCTCAAACACATGACTGGGACAGTCTCAACAGAGGAGTATATTTACATGTAAGATAAGTCGAATTGATTTTGTTTTTAAATGGCTCATACTGTTATTGGCCTGGAAGCGTTTCTGCAACATAACTTCTGGAGGCCGACGTGAAACCAGTGGAAAAACGTGTAATTAAGCAACAGGCAGTGATATTTATAGAATATTGTACATCAGCAAGACTATATACTTATGTGTGACATGTATACCTTCAGTAATGTGTTTTTTAAAACTGCACAGGGTAAAGTAGATGGGGTTTTGTCCATGAGTGTGCAGAATATCGGGGAAAGTTTCTCTAATAATTGATTTGCACTTTGTTTGGCTAAACCCAGGTTATAGTTGTCTTAAAGTTTGAAAATTATTCTTCAGGCTTTGACCTGATGTATTTGACTGTTAAACAGGTGAAATCAAAGTGGGGTCAGAGAGAATTCACCTGCATACAACTTCCTGTCACTTAAAGATCAAATGTTCCTGCTATTTTGTCCACTCTGTATATTTAACGTTTGTAAACCAAGCATGAAATCAGCGTCCATTGTTTAAAATGAGGCCCTCAGGCATCTACTAGAGATTTCAATATCTACGCATTCGCAGTTTACACGTGTCTTTTCCACCAATAGTTTGTCACTAAACTATGCCAAAGTATTCATAATTAAATTCACCACATGGCAAGGCTGTTACAACTTAGAGGGCTCAATTGTGTGTGTAACACACAAGTATTGTAGAAGAATGCACTGTATGTTAAAACACAGTATTTCAAGTGAACTATTTTATTAATTAATCTGAAATAATAACAAAAACTGTTTTTTCTGGTTATCTTTTGTGTCTCTGTGTGTCTTTTTATTACAAAGTACACTTGTATGTAGCTGTCTGGCAGGTGAGTGGAGAAGGACCCAAATGTCAATAGATGAGGCTGACAGTGACAGAATTTAAAGCAACATTATGCAGATTCTTACAGTTCAATTCTCAACACTGTTGTAAATGGCAAATATTACTTTGCTAACAGTCAATAATCAAGCAAGTGCAACAAGACAAAGCAAGTTAGCTAATATGACTTACCTGGCTCCAGTGCTAGCTCCTCGGGTTATGATGTGGGCACGACATCCGTCCTGTCCTGGAAACGTCTTTATTCAAGCTCCTGTGCTAACGGTGTAAACACAAACACTCCCCATGGTGCTAGTAGCACCCAGTCCTGTTAGCATTGCTAACTGAGCTAACAGCTAACTAGCTGAAAGCAGCTATTGTTAGCAGCAGTTAGTAGTTAGCAGTTAGTAGTTAGCAGTTGGCAGTTAGTAGTTGGCAGTTAGTAGTTGGCTGTTAGCAGTTATTAGTTGGCTGTTAGTAGTTGGCAGTTAGCAGTTGGCAGTCGGCAGTTAGTAGTTAGCTGTTGGCAGTTAGTAGTTGGCAGTTAGTAGTTAGCTGTTGGCAGTTAGTAGTTAGCTGTTGGCAGTTAGTAGTTGGCAGTTAGCAGTTAGTAGTTGGCTGTTAGCAGTTGGCAGTCAGCAATTAGTAGTTAGCTGTTGGCAGTTAGTAGTTGGCAGTTAGTAGTTGGCAGTTAGTAGTTAGCTGTTAGCAGTTGGCAGTTAGTAGTTGGCTGTTAGCAGTTAGTAGTTGGCTGTTAGGAGTTAACTACTAACAGCCAACTGCCAACTACTAACTGCCAATTGGCAGTTAGTAGTTGGCAGTTAGTAGTTGGCTGTTAGTAGTTGGCAGTTAGTAGTTGGCTGTTAGTAGTTGGCTGTTAGTAACTTTGGCAGTTAGTAGTTGGCAGTTAGTAGTTGGCAGTTAGTAGTTGGCTGTTAGTAGTTGGCAGTTAGCAGTTAGTAGTTGGCTGTTAGTAGTTGGCAGTTAGCAGTTAGTAGTTGGCTGTTATCAGTTAGTAGTTGGCCGTTAGTAGTTGGCAGTTAGTAGTTAGTAGTTGGCAGTTAGTAGTTGGCTGTTAGCAGTTGGCAGTTGGCTGTTAGTAGTTGGCTGTTAGCAGTTAGTAGTTGGCTGTTAGCAGTTAGTAGTTGGCTGTTAGCAGTTAGTAGTTGGCAGTTAGTAGTTAGTAGTTGGCTGTTAGTAGTTGGCAGTTAGTAGTTGGCTGTTAGCAGTTAGTAGTTGGCTGTTAGTAGTTGGCAGTTAGTAGAAGTAGTTGGCTGTTAGCAGTTAGTTGGTAGTTGGCAGTTAGCAGTTAGTAGTTGGCAGTTAGTAGTTAGCTGTTAGCAGTTGGCAGTTAGTAGTTGGCTGTTAGCAGTTAGTAGTTGGCTGTTAGGAGTTAACTACTAACAGCCAACTGCCAACTACTAACTGCCAATTGGCAGTTAGTAGTTGGCAGTTAGTAGTTGGCTGTTAGTAGTTGGCAGTTAGTAGTTGGCTGTTAGTAGTTGGCTGTTAGTAACTTTGGCAGTTAGTAGTTGGCAGTTAGTAGTTGGCTGTTAGTAGTTGGCAGTTAGCAGTTAGTAGTTGGCTGTTAGTAGTTGGCAGTTAGCAGTTAGTAGTTGGCTGTTATCAGTTAGTAGTTGGCCGTTAGTAGTTGGCAGTTAGTAGTTAGTAGTTGGCAGTTAGTAGTTGGCTGTTAGCAGTTAGCAGTTGGCTGTTAGTAGTTGGCACTTAGTAGTTGGCTGTTAGCAGTTAGTAGTTGGCTGTTAGCAGTTAGTAGTTGGCAGTTAGTAGTTGGCAGTTAGTAGTTAGTAGTTGGCTGTTAGTAGTTGGCAGTTAGTAGTTGGCTGTTAGCAGTTAGTAGTTGGCTGTTAGTAGTTGGCAGTTAGTAGAAGTAGTTGGCTGTTAGCAGTTAGTTGGTAGTTGGCAGTTAGCAGTTAGTAGCGTTACTTTAGCGACAAGGAAAGCTTTCTGTCCATCAGGAAACTCTGTGGAATTTATTTTTGTAAAATATGATATTACCAAAATGGGCTGAAAATGATTTTTTATTTCTTGGGTTAAAATAGTTCAATTGTGTTGCTTTAATTAGCAAAGAAAGACGGCAAAAGATAAATGATTTACAATTTGACAACTGACTGGTAAAAAGGGGCTGTTGTATGTGATTCAGGGCTGATGAGGAAATAATTGCAGGTGTGGAGAGGGGGTCGGGGAAACTCAGGTGAGGGGACTAAGGTAGGTAAAGGGCAAATGATTTTGTAGGCATCTGGTGGCCTGGTTAAGAATAACACTTTAAGGGTGTGGAAAAGTGAAAATATGTCGCATGATATTGCTCTATTTCTGTGTGAAATATCCAACAACTATTGAAATGACATTTGGTACAAACACTCATGTGTAAGAGGAACCATAATGAATTAAAGGTAGGGTAGGTAAGTTTGAGAAACCGGCTCGAGATACACTTTTTGTTATATTCCATGGAATGCTCTTAACATCCCGATAGCAATGAATATCTTAAATGCTTTCACAAAAAATCCATAAAAAAATGTCATCTGTGGAAGCCGTAGTACTGTAAAAAGCACGACCAATCATTTTAGCCGGCCCGGCTAAAATAACTGGATGGCCTACCTGCCTGTCAGCCTTCCATCTGTGCACAAACTTATCTCGTGCCCTCATTGGTCATGTGCGCGTTCGTGTGTGTTGGAGGAGGGGCTCTGTAAGGAAGTGGCAGATTTTCTCCGGTTGTGTATTTTCAAATTCTAGCGATCTCGAGCCGGTTTCTCAAACTTACCTACCCTACCTTTAACGTTTAATTTAGCAGTGTCATCAGGTATATGTTTTGTTATTTCTATGCCTATAGTTGGGTTAATGCCAAAAAGACATAGGCCTATGTCAAACTAATAGTGCTTATAGCCAAAACTTAGTATTTTTTAAAACATTTTACTTACTGTTTATTTACAGTAGCCTATATTTTTTAGCATTGTATTAGTTGTATGGAGCACTAAAGCATGCTGACTTTAGCATTTGCTTCCAAAAATGCTAACAGGCATGGCTGTGTAGACCAACTGTTGCTAGGAATTAAGAAAATTAGAAAAGGTTTTTTTTAACCCTTGTTTACTTAAAGTTGAGTACTCTTTCCTACATGTGAATGAAGAAAACTAGGTACTAGCTTTTCTGAAAATTCATCAGTAAGTGAGCGTTTCAAAAGACAGCTTTGCAACGTAAGATTCTTCAAAAACAGCAGAAAGTTTTGACGTGAATTTATGTAATTATTTTACAATTCAAACTATTTTTCCCATATTTAATTTGACCCAAGTGTGCTTCTGGACATATCCTCCACCAGGGGTAGCCACAAACACAATAATAAGCACTTCAGTTCAATTCCTGAGCCATTTATTTGTCAAATCGTTTTCATAAGCTGACCATCAAAATGTAGAGCTTGTTACTGAAATAACACCAAACTTCAAAACTAAAGACAAATCTCTAGAGAGCTTACATGTGACACACATTAAGAGGAGCTTTAAATGCTATCTAAACTTTCAAAATAATACACTACAATTCGCTCTAAAACTATCAACACCAAAAGGCATAAAGAACTTTCTCAGGGCGTTCACAAACTGTCTTCACAGTACCTTTTCACACAACAATCAAACTCAAACAATCATAAGCTTGCAATATATGCTATGTATCATTCCAGTCCAAATATAACAAAATTAAATGTTAATAATATGTATTAAAAAGCAAAAAACACACACAGGCAGGTGGACAGGTGTCTAAAAGTCCTCTAAGGTTCAATGACATTGAAACTACAGGTGTTATTACTTTATAAATCCGTGAAAGATACATCTAGTTAAGGATAAATCAAACTTTAAGTAGAAAAACAAGACATTTTACCTAAGAAAAAAGAAAGTTTTGCACATTCATTGTTGGATAATTTCTACTAAATTAACTTTGGAAGGTATTCCTGTAAAATGACTGTAAAGCAGAACAGTCATTTACCGATAAAAAGCAATAGCACCGAGGAAATACACACTAGTATAATAGAAAGCACTGAGTGAAAAACACAAGTCACTATAAATGCATCAACTCTCCTTCACATCAACCTTTAACATTGTTTTAACAGTCAAGTACATTCAAAATTGTACAGTTAACTTGTGCAAGCAAACTTAAATAACATAAAATATATGAAAAAAACAAGACTGAAGTATTTACATCCTGCTGGTTTTTCTCCATTGAGTATTTCTGCGTGCAGCACTGAAGCTCCATATCTAGAGGTAGTCGTAGTGAGAATGAGTTTGTGTTAAGTCATGCAATGCAAAAAGCATATTCAAATCCGCTCTTAATTTACGAATGGTGGTGTTTCTCTACAGTCCTATTCAAACACTGATACTGGTAAGGAGCTTATGCTGCTTTGACTGTATGTATCGTAAATAATGCACATTTTTGAAAACATGATGAAGTTTAAGGACTATGTGAAAACTGTGTTGCTGAAATTGATGTAAAACAGTCATCAAATAGCAAAATACCTCAAAATAACTGGCACTGCAGGCAAAGGGATATGTTATTATAGGCATTATGTGTAACCGTTCCTAACAAGCAAACCAACCGGCTGTCATTTGTATTTCCTTTCCCGGATAACTTTGTTTTTAGACTTGAAGAAAGGATTTAATCTGAACTGATAACTTCAAACCCGAAGCCATTGGCAGATTAGACCATGAACTATTATTTCTTTAAGACTATCTCTGCACCATTGCACGTCAACCTTCGATCTAAACTTGGTGCATGAATCCCTTGTAGCTCTTGTCTTCACATCGTGGTCTCACTGTTGCGGTGGTTGAGTGAGTCGTTCTCCTGACAGATGAGCTGGTAGGGCTTCTCGTTCTCCTCGATCACAGAGTTGCACACTTCGGCGTCCTGACTCTGCAGCTCTTTACGGGAAAGATGCTCCACGATCCCCGCACCCAGAGAGTCACCCAGCACGTTGGTGGTGGTGCGCAGGCGGTCCCTACAAAGAGAGGGGGTCAGGAGAAGAGAAATGTACAGTCGATGTGTACGGATAGGGAAAATGTTGATGTATATCTGCTTTATGATCTACTGCTAAATGATGAACCATCCAGATCTCTCAGGTCTTCAGGTCTGCTTTTGTGTCCCCAGAGTCAGAGCTAAACATGGAGAAGTTCAGTTATTATGCTCCAAATATCTGGAACAAACTCCCAGAAACCTGCAGGTCCGCTGCAACTCTGACTACTTTTAAATCCAGGCTGAAGACTTTTCTTGTTGCCGCTGCTTTTAATTGAACTATTCACATCTTACACTGCACTGTAACTTGGATTAATGTACCTGTGTTATTCATGTTTTATTATCTTTGCTTTTAGTATTACTTTTACTATCTGTATTATTATTATGTTGCATTGTTGGAGAAGCCTGTGACATAAGATTTTCAACGACATAATTACTCTGTAGCTATGTTAGTTTGACAATAAAGAACCTTGAACCTTGAACCTTGAACCCTGAGTGTTTTAAAATGCCATTTTATAATATGTTTATGCCGCACTATTTCTTGGTGTCTTTCATTTTTGTAAAGCACTTTGAATTGCCTTGTGTTGAAAGGTGCTATATAAACTTGCCTTATAAACAGGTTAAAATGTAAATGATAATATAAAAATACTTTAAAATGTAATATATTTAGACCTTTCTTTAAGCAAGCTTGGGGACTGTTCCCGGCCTAGACGTAATTAACCGGATAAACTATTGTTTTATTCTTTTGCAATATGGGTACAAATAATGACAGTTGAATTTTTCTATTCTTTTTACTTTTTTGGGTCTATTTTCTTCTGTTATGTTGTTTTGATTCCTGTTTTTTTTAATTTGATACAGTTTTTCATGACACAAAAATCTTCAGGATGTTGTATTTTAGACAACAAGTGGGTCATTATTTACAATGTGTTAGTCAATTGAAGTTCAAATTGTGAAGGACATGGATAGCATGCAGTATATATATTTATTTCTTTGTACAAATTGAAATTAAAATGTGCACTTAACTCTACCAAAAGCAGCGTCCAATCAGCATAGGCGGGTTCACTTCCCACTGAGAGTTATTTTAATTAAATGCATCTTTGCCTGACAACGACATACTACTTGCCATCTGTCGACAAACATTTCAAATTGCACATTAAGCCTATCATTTACCTTTCCAAATATTGAATCAGTGCCAAATATTTGTGTTCAATATGCTCACATGACATTCAGAGTATCATACATTTTGTACCACACTTTAAATCTCTGATAGAAAAAATACTTTCTTTGAATTAAAATGATTTCATAATCAGTACGACCCCTAAAGTGTTTTACATTGGTTACGTTATAACATAATTGGGTTTAATTGTACTTTTGGTCAGGTTAAGTCCAATTGCTATGACATTTTTTAATAAACGCTAACATATTTAGGCGCTACGTGCCTCCAAACTGAGGCTCTTCTAATCCGGCTCTCTGCATTATGCATCAATAACCCCTCTGAAGCTTCACGGTGACATTTAGGCTTCAGACCCTCAGAACCAATCCCCATCACGCTGACATTTAGTGGGAACTCACAGGAACCAATCCACGGCGATGATCAGAGTTATGTCCTCCGTGGGCAGTCCCACCGAGGTCAATACGATCACCATGGTAACCAGTCCAGCCTGAGGGATGCCTGCTGCTCCGATGCTGGCAGCCGTTGCCGTGATGCTGAGGAGAGGGAAGACATTTTAATGACAGGAAAACACCCAAGAAGCACATGTGCACTCCTGGTGGGAAGAGTGGAGGGATAGAAGCACAAGGAAAAATAACGTTTTGTCAATTATCTACAAGCTGATCACTTGTAGATAATTGATCTACAAGTGATCAGCTTGTAAATAATTGTAGATCACAATTATCTACAAGCTGATCACAATTATCTGCAAGCTGATCACAATTATCTACAAGCTGATCACAATTATCTACAAGCTGATCACAATTATCTGCAAGCTGATCACAATTATCTACAAGCTGATCACAATTATCTGCAAGCTGATCACAATTATCTACAAGCTGATCACAATTATCTGCAAGCTGATCACAATTATCTACAAGCTGATCACAATTATCTATAAGCTGATCACAATTATCTACAAGCTGATCACAATTATCTATAAGCTGATCACAATTATCTACAAGCTTATCACAATTATCTGCAAGCTGATCACAATTATCTATAAGCTGATCACAATTATCTACAAGCTGATCACAATTATCTGCAAGCTGATCACAATTATCTGCAAGCTGATCACAATTATCTATAAGCTGATCACAATTATCTGCAAGCTGATCACAATTATCTACAAGCTGATCACAATTATCTGCAAGCTGATCACAATTATCTACAAGCTGATCACAATTATCTGCAAACTGATCACAATTATCTACAAGCTGATCACAATTATCTATAAGCTGATCACAATTATCTACAAGCTGATCACAATTATCTATAAGCTGATCACAATTATCTACAAGCTGATCACAATTATCTGCAAGCTGATCACAATTATCTATAAGCTGATCACAATTATCTACAAGCTGATCACAATTATCTGCAAGCTGATCACAATTATCTGCAAGCTGATCACAATTATCTATAAGCTGATCACAATTATCTGCAAGCTGATCACAATTATCTACAAGCTGATCACAATTATCTATAAGCTGATCACAATTATCTACAAGCTGATCACAATTATCTGCAAGCTGATCACAATTATCTGCAAGCTGATCACAATTATCTATAAGCTGATCACAATTATCTGCAAGCTGATCACAATTATCTACAAGCTGATCACAATTATCTATAAGCTGATCACAATTATCTATAAGCTGATCACAATTATCTATAAGCTGATCACAATTATCTACAAGCTGATCACAATTATCTGCAAGCTGATCACAATTATCTACAAGCTGATCACAATTATCTATAAGCTGATCACAATTATCTATAAGCTGATCACAATTATCTACAAGCTTTCAGAAGTTGTGCATATCGAGAAAGGTGTGGCTGATAATCGTTAGACTGCATCAACTTAAAGTGGACCTATCATGCTATATTCGAAAAATATATTGTAGGGCCATACCTATACAAAACATGTCTGTGAAGTGTTTTGCTTAAAATCCCAAACAGATCCCCCATTATAGCCATGCCTCATACTGCTCAAACCCCTCTGTTTCAGCTGTTAGAGAAACAAGGATTTTGGGTACTTAGCTTGAAAAAAAAAAAGAGGAGGCGGAGCTAATGCCTGATCAGAATTCTTCCGGAGATAAAGTTAAATTCTGCTGTGATAAAACGCCATCCTGTTCTAAACCACATCAAGGATTATTTCTGAAACAGCATGGAGCTCAAATGCTTTTTCTCTTGCAGGTTTATCACAAGGTGAGTTCCTTTTTTTATTTCCTGCTTTTAAAACACATGTGCTCTCCAGTACAGGTTAGCTCTGAGTGTTAGCGAGGCTTGCTAATGTAAACAAAGACGAGATTACGTCCAGAACACGTCAGGCATTGTTTCTGATAGCAACTTTCTGTGGGTCCGCCATCCGAAATTACGTCATATCGGCAGCAAATCTGTATCCGCTCGTTGTACCCCCGTTTTTAAAAGATGTGGGTACGGAGGAAAAGAGAAAGGGTTTTATTTTCTGACGCTGCATGAGTTCCCTGACACACCAGGGACACGTATTTATGTATAAAAGACATCAAAAAGTGCATTTTGCATGATAGGTCCCCTTTAACTTGCATTTAACACACCTAAAAAGTTGGATTTTCCCAGTTCAATTTCCCATTTTTAACCTCTTTTGTTTACTTACGTAACATAATGACATCACGTTTGGCACTTCCTGGGGGCTTGCCTGTAACAGGCTACTGGGAAGTGCCAAACGTGATGTCACTATGTTACATAAGTAAACAAAGGAGTCCAATGGAGGCGTTTCAGGCATGGGGGGAGGGAACACAGGGATTTCAGCCTTTGCAGACCATTTACATGCACTAAATGTATCCAGAATATTGTATATTGTTTTGTTAATATTTGATACAATATTTTTCATTTTTTTCTTCCACTTTTTAAAGTATTGTATTTTAAAGTCTGAACACACTTCTGCTTCTGTGACGAAAGAATTTCCCAAATTGGGATCAATAAAGTATTTATCCATCCATCCATCTCTCTCTCTCTCTATCTATCTATCTATCTCTCTCTCTCTCTATCTCTCTCTATCTATCTATCTATCTATCTATCAATCTACCTATCTATCTCTCTCTCTATCTATCTCTCTCTCTCTCTATCTATCTATCCATCCATCCATCCATCCATCCATCTATCTATCTATCTAAAAACCTATATACCACAGTAAAGGGGAAACATCTCAAGTAAGGTATGGTTACCTGATGGTGAGAATCTGCCCAAAGTTGAGGTCCATGTCGTTGACCTGGGCGATAAAGATGGCCGCCACCGCCTCGTACAGCGCGGTGCCGTCCATGTTGATGGTGGCGCCGACGGGAAGGACGAAGCGAGTCACTCGTTTGTCCACACGGTTGTTTTCCTCCAGACAACGGAAAGTGATCGGCAGGGTGGCAGAGCTGCAGGACGCCAAAAATATATTATAAAACACATTATTCTCTATCAGTTTATATCCTATCATATATTGTATTGTGGCAAAGTTACTGTGATTTAGGTCCTGTTATTCTATAGGTAATAAGACACGTTTATTTTTGTAATGTAACCCTGCAGTTGCACACAAGTCAGAATCTGTGTTGCAGAACCTAAAACTATAATATGGATGAAGTTAAATGAGCTTTTTGTGATATGTAAAACCTCTACAATCAATGCAAGATGTGATTTAAAAAGGAAATGTCCTCCAATATTTGGTTCATGTCCATTTGTTCTTTTCTCTAAGTACCCATTACGTTTGGGGATTCACCAATGTGTTCTTATTTTAGTTCTCTCTCTACATAAAACAATGTATACATTAATATAATTAAAGTTAGATTAATATATGTGTTAGAGACTAGTTATTATAATGATAATAATAATTGTGCAGCACAAGAGCATCTGGAGTCGACTTTTCGTACTTTCTCTTAACATAAATTTAAGATACCTTTTTAGCTTGAGTCCCATTCACATTTAAACACACTGTATGGGACCCTTTAAAGGTCACCTATTATGCAAAATGCACTTTTTGATGTCTTCTAAACATCAACATGTGTCCCCTCTTCTTCATGTCTCTTCTACATCAACATGTGTCCCCTCTTCTTCATGTGTCTTCTACATCAACATGTGTCCCCTCTGTGGAAAGAGACTCTGAAAGTTGCAGGAACAAAGATTCTCTCTCTTTTTGTCCTGATCCATTTTTATAAAAACCTGTCTGAAAATGAGCTGATCAGATTTTGGCCACTTTATGATGTCATAACGATGTTTTGGCTTGTGTAACCATTAGCCAATCAGCAACCAAGGTAACCCCCCCCCCCCCACCTTATCACCTGAATCTCCTCCTAGAGCACCATTGAGTTCTTTTTAACCAAATCGCTCTCAGAGGGGCGTGGGGAGGGGCTCGTTATTTTCATCTAAAGTAACAGACAGAGAATCAGCACTTTGGAAACAGGGCTTAAACAGAGGGGATTATGGGTAATGCTGCAATGATCTGTTTGGTGTTTCAGCCAATCAGAGACATGATCTGTATATATCTGAGACCTATAATATATTGAGGAAAAACAGTATAATAGGGGACCTTTAAGTTAGGCGGTGTCTCACCTGGACGATGTTCCCAGAGCGGTGATGAGCGCCTGCAGAATCCCTCCGATGAAGACGTAGGGGTTCTTCCTTGTCACCAGGAAGTAGAGCAGCGGCAGAACGAAGAGGCCGTGGATGAGCAGACCCACGATGACGGACACGGTGTACATCCCCAGCTGCCCCCCCATCTCCGCCAGGTCCTTCATCTCCACGATCTTCCCCGAAATCAGGAACATGATGCCGACCGGAGCGTACCTGAGGGGTCAGAGGATGATGAGAAGCAACTAAAATGAGTTCCTATAGTCAGAGTTTATAGACTTTTTATCTTCGTGGCATAGGTGTGAAGTAGTGGAGTACAAATACTTCGTACATTTTTCTGGTATTACATTACATTACATTTGTTAGACGCTTTTATCCAAAGCGACTTACATACTCAATACTGTGGACAATCCCCACAGGAGCAATTTGGGGTGAAGTGTCTCAGGGACACAACGACATGCTGACTGCAGTGGGACTCGAACTTGCTATCCCCTGATTTGAAGTCCAGCACACTACCCACTGAGCCACAGCCGCCTGGTATCAGTACTTTACTCCACTACTTTTTTACTTCTTACATTTTTAACTCAAATACCTGTACTTTCTACTTCTTACATGTTGAACACAAATACCTGTACTTTCTACTTCTTACATGTTGAACCCAAATACCTGTACTTTCTACTTCTCACATTTTCCAAACAGGCTGGTTCCTTTAGTTTGAATGTGTGTTTGGTGGCGTGATCATTATTATTTAGAGTCATTGCGTGCCTATTGATTTGAACACGATCCGTGTATCCATCATTTCCTGGTCTTCTCTAAAGAAGAGGGACCAATGAAAACGTTGTCATGTTGCCGTTGTTCAGCATGGAAACATTCATTAGCTAACAATGACATTATTGTTCTATTAATATAAAGGGAGGTCAGGTACTCTTTAAAACAGCTGCTAGTTATGGGTACTTTTTACTGAAGTACATTTCAAAGCCCATACTTCTTTACTTTGACTTGAGTAAAGAAGTTTAGTCGAAATTTGAAACTGCATATTTAACTTGTATACTAAGTATCCCGAGCTTCAGGAGAGTTCACTGACCAGATGATGATGGACACCAGCCTCATGATGGCTTCGTTCAGACAGGTGAAGAAGTCCCTGAGAGCCTGGCCCTGCTGCTTCATGCTGCCGATCACCAGCCCGAAGCACATGGAGAACACCACCAGACCCAGAGCGTTCACTCCACTGGAGGAGCTGGACATCGGCACCGTCTCCACCACCGTCTCCTGCACGAGGAAACACGTGGGAGGAAACATGAGCAACATTTTGTGTTTAATATGCAGGGTAAACATTCATGTTTGGAAAATCCTGAATGTCCTCTTCCAATCTGAGAGTAACATGATAACAAAGGTATCCCAACTGTAGCTGTGTACATGACAGGATGTATGATTACCTAGAAGAGCATCAGGACTGTTTGAGGCATATGATAGCTATGTGATGAACATGATGATTCAGCCTCTATGGAGATAGACATATGACAAGCATGATCATTTCTGACGTGTAGCTAATCTGAAGTAAACATTGAATACTGCTTTCTATTCCTCCATCTTGTGACTGTGTAACTCCCTCTCTTGGATATCAGCATGTGAAGGACACTGTTCAGGAACTAGTTGATGCTCTGTATGTGATGACTACTTCCATTCTGGAGAGGATCACAAATACATGGATCCTGAGATTGAAGCTCAAGCCGGTGACGAGTGATTATTACAATTTTGAAGTATTCAGAAAAAGTCAGATTTTTTAGAAAAAGTCAAATTTTTTAGAAAAAGTCAGATTTTTTAGAAAAAGTCTGATATTTTTGAAAAAGTCTGAATTTGTTGAAAAAGTCAGAATTTTTTGAAAAAGTAAAAATGTTTGTCTGATTTTAACTCTGACCCTGTTGCTGCTATAAATGCCTACATTTCCCCAAGGGGATAAATAATGTTCCATCTTATCTTAAAACGTGTTTTAATCTTCTTTCAATACTGCATAATTGTAGTTATTAGCACTCTTATAAGTGCTTATCATCAGGATTTATAAGAATAATCAGCACACATAATAAAGCATTGCATGATTACATTTAAAGTCAAGTATTATAATACAATTTCACTTTCACCTTTTTTTCAAGGATCATAATGTGTTAAAATGCCCATAGTTGTAATACATGTTTTATTAGGCAATATAATCACTGTTATAATACATTAATGCATTATTACTTTAAGTGTTAATTTTTTGGTTTAAATAACTTTACACAAATATTATTAAATCTATTCAAGTACAACAGAAGATTCATTTCACTTTACTTAAAGCAAACAATGACCACTAATGGCGCTTTTCCACTGCAGCACGTAGCACGGTTTAAGCGTGCCGTGCCAAACCAGGCCCGCTTTTTTTTGCTTTTCCACTAGGGGTAGTTCGGGTTCAATGCTACTTTTTCACCTTTTTTCTGGCCCTCCAAAATCGAGGTTCTTACCGGGCCAACAACCGGGCTGAATATGCTAAACTAGTGACGTAAACACTCTCGACTGAGAATCGCTGGCAAGGGGGCTACAACTACAACAAAATGAAGATATTTTACCATGATTTAATTGTAATACACGTTTCAAAATGATGCCGAAGTAACCACATACTGATACCGGTTAGTAAAAACCATGAATTAATGCTTTGACAAGTCTGCAGACAGACGGCAGGCGAAAAACCTTTTAAAATGCGTGTTTTCTAAATGGAGATTGGCTAAGCTAACGCAGTATATGCTCCGACCGTCCACACTCACAACAACGGCCTACAGACATAAATAAAGCAGCGACTGTATTCACCATGACACAGACAGTCTGTGGTTTGTACTTGTTTAACTTTTGTCTAGTTTCTGAACAGATATGAGGAGCTGTGAGCTCTGTGGGCTAACAGCTAACGGCTGATGTTTTGGTTTTGTGGTTCACATTGAAGATGACGTCACGGCTCCGCCTACACTGCGTTACTATAGTTACTGCCCCAGGTACTAAACTGTAATGGAAACGCAGCTTAAAGTGAGCCTGGCCTACCAAGGCCTAACCATACCGTACTAAGCCGTGCTAGGTCCTGCAGTGGAAAAGCACCATTATGTCTAATTTATTATAACAACCATCATAATTCCTAATAAATCACAGAAATACTATGATCGTTCCAACAAAAAAGTCAGTGATTAATAATTATGCTTATTATAATACTGTAACACATGAGTGCTAACAACTACAATTATACAGAGCTGTAAGCAGACCATAATGCAGAGGGTAGGAATCCCGCTGAAGTCTGACTTTTTACTATTTTTCTACTTATCTGATGTGTTTCCAGAGGAGGGGTCACCCACCTCAATGGTGTTACTCTAAGTTATAATGGTTTGCTTTAAAGGGGACCTATCATGCAAAATGCACTTTTGTACGTCTTTTATACATGAATATGTGTCCCCGGTGTTCCAGGGAACTCACCAAGTGTCAGAAAACACAACCCTCTCTATTTTCCTCCATACCCAAATCTCTAAAAAAGGGGCTGCAACGGATCTGATACAGACTGATCCAGATTTGAACACTTCTATGACGTCACAGAAGTGGCGCTACGGCTATTGGGCCAACCCTCTCTATTTTCCTCCATACCCAAATCTCTAAAAAAAGGGCTGCAACGGATCTGATAAAAACTGATCCAGATTTGAACACTGTCCTGACGTCAGGACAGTGGCGCTACGGCTATTGGGCCAACTCCACCAATCAGGAGGAGACAGCCACGGCCATTGCCGTTCGATAGCGCTGGAGACGCTGTAGTACATATGCCAGGCCTGTAGGTGGTGCTGTTCTCACTGAATCTGCCCTTGCAAATTCAGAGCTAAAAAAATGTCAAATTGAGCAAAATGAGGCATGGCTAAAATGCATGATCTGTTTGGTATTTTGAAAAAAAAAAAGTATAAATATGCCTTATATAGGTATGGTCCTATACTATATTATTATAATATAGCATGATAGGTCCACTTTAAGTTAAGTGAAAAAATCCCATTAAATCTTTACACACAAAATGTTGCGTTAATTTCCCCTTTACATTATAATGCATTTTACCAGTGATTATAATTTGTTTCAAAAAGCTTATAATTAAAATACACTATGATCCTTGCAAGGTTGTATGATACTTGACCTTTTAAGTTGGTGTGTAATATTTTATAATTGTTGTAATTATTGTTATACAGCATTATACACACGTTTCAGTGCTTATAGCTATGAATACACAGTGCAATAAGCAAATTATAATGCATTATATGTATGTTAATGATGCGTCATAGACATAAGAAAGTGTTATATATATATAGCCCACCTGAATTGTGTGCAGAACCCGGCTGAGGTTCACGTTCAGGTCCGACTCTGTGAGGTTCAGAGACTCGGTGAGGTTCAGAGACACCGTCACGTTCCTGATGTGCACCGTCTTCTTATACACTGTTTTATACTGAAGGAGAGGGCAATTAAACAGTTAAAATGTCAGTCAAATATGAGGCAAAGTGAAATAATGTCAGTTTTTTGTCTTCCCTTTGTGGTTGGTTTAGAGATGAATGATGGGTGTTGTGTTGTAATATTAAATATATGTGTTTACTGTGTCTGAAAAGGTAAATAAAATAGGTTAAATTATGGGAAAGCCTCACCTGAAGGAAACAAGCCTCTACCAGATTTGGAGGGAACATGTTCCTGGGATAAAAAGGAAAACACATATTTCTATAAAACAATATAATACATTTTGTAATACAATATTTATATTAAGCGCCACCAATGCCTCCCTTTAAAACAGTTGAACCATCATGTGTACGTCTACTCAGATTCAGTTAAATTGATTCTTTATAGGAAATAAAAACAACTAAGAATGTTTCAATTGACTTTTGACTTGACAATCATGTGAAAATTGTGGGGGTTAATGGACGCCTGCAAAAAAGACGAGAACGCGCCTTTGAGCACTGGGAAAAGCGCTACATGTATATAAATACGATTTCACCCTTCCCCCTTTTTGATTTATTGCCGCCTGGTAAGCCCCAGCCCTGTCTTGTACCTCCTATGCCCCAGTATTAACTTTTAGCTGATTGTATAATGTGTATCTGGTGTTATTAGAATAGTTAATTGATTGTTATAAAATAAAGTAATTGTGTTAACGGTAACTGAAACTGTCTCTGGCCCGTTATGTAAAACTGATGATAACAGACACAACACCTACAATGTGTACCTGAGTGAATTAAGTCTAGTTCCTGTCTGTTACCTGATGAGATCCAGGAAGGCGTCCGTGGCCTGGATCGGCTCGATGTTCCCGCTCTTGGACACAGGACTGTCCCGGCTGCCTCTCCCCGGCTGGATGATGACCACGATGACGATGCCGATGAACACCGCGATCAGAGTGGTCACCGTGTAGTAGACCACCGCTCGCATCCCCATCTTACCTGAGGCCTTGCTGTCCAGAGAGGAAATACCTGAGGCAGAAGGAAATACATTTGAGAATCCTGCACGTTTTTCTTATCTTAAAGTTACCTAACTGTATATCATTGTATTTTTAATTGTATCAATCTCTAATCTGTGTGAATCTGTGCTGTCCTGTTTTTCATTCCTTACCCTGTTGCTGTTAAACTACTGAATTTCCCCACAGATCTTATCTTATGTTATTCTGTTATCGATGAGTTTTGTGAATTTAAAACCGACCTGTGACCAGACTGGAGACGATGAGAGGAAGCACCAGCATCTTCAGCATCCTCATCAGCAGCTCCCCGGGGAACGAGAAGTACTTGATCTCCCTCAGGGACAGGTTGTGGGGGCGAAGAGCGAATCCCAAGAGTACACCTGAAGAACATGCACATAAAAGCATTAAACTTACCGAGCAATATATTGATTTTGTGCCTTTCCTGGTTTTAAATGGTTGTTATTTTCAGAACATACTGGACTGTTCCTGCTAAAGATTTAAAGATTGTATTGTCATATGCACAATAGCTACAGCCTAGTTGTTTGCAAATGAAATCGCACTAAGTCCTATAGACCCCACGGAGAGTGTTACATACGGTTACATACAATATAATTAAAGGGGCCATATTCTGCTCATTATTAGGTTCATATTTGTGTGTCTCCATGCTTTAATGTTCAAAAAGCCCCTCTTTTCACCCTCTGTCTGAAACCAGAGCCCAGTCTGCTCTGATTGGTCAGCTGGCTGGCTCTGTTTTGATTGGTCAACTGCTTAGAGATTTCCCGCCCTACTGCCTATTTCGTACAATGGCTGTACATAGGGATGTCACTAACAGAAGTAAATAAAGGAGTCCAATGGAGGCGTTTCAGGCAGTGAGAATTTAGCCTTTGCAGACCATTTACATCAGGGGTGTCAAACTCAAGGCCCGGGGGCCAAATCCGGCCCGTGACTTCATTTTATGCGGCCCCACAAGAGCTTGCAAATAATATAATATGTTTATTATACGGTTACATGCTACTTTACTACATGTCCCACAATGCATCTCAAATTTGACTTTCTCAGAATTTGAAATGTTTTCTTCAAAATATGCATTTTTTCTTAGAATTTGCCTTTTTCTCAGAATTAGATTTTTTATTTCAAAATGTCACTTATTTTTTTTTGTTTTTCCAGAATGTGGCTTTTCTTTTTAAATCATTTTGTGACATTCTCACTGAAGAGACTTGCAATTATTTGCCCTAGACTTCTGCTTTCAGACGTAGTTAATTATGAAGTTATTACCCTATCCGATAGTAATCCAATGCAGAGGCAATAATGTAATATAATACATTATTTTATATACATTAAATATTTATATATGTATTTTTATACAGTCTTAAAGTTACAACCGGCCCTTTGAGTGCAACCATAATGCTGTTGTGGCCCGTGATGAAATTGAGTTTGACACCCCTGATTTACATGCACAAAAAACCTATATAACTAGGGAGGGGAAATCCCCTAAAAAGGTAATAGAGCCTCTTTAGGGACGCTCTGACCAAGGGATGTGCATTCATATCAAGAAGCTTTGTATATGTAATGTCAGCTGTTTCCAAAAAAACATCAGAAAACACCATGAAATACTTTTCAAAAAGTGTTTCATTGATGCTAAACTGTCCCCAGTTAAATAGTAGCAAAAAACAAAGAACCAAGGTAATAAAATCATGTTATAATCAATATGTTGTGTCATATTATCCCCCAGCCCTGCACACACAATCCGTTGAACACAGATTACTTTGACGTCCTCTTCCCATCTGAACTCACCCAGAGCGACGGCGGCCACAGTGAACAGGACGAACAGGTTCCTCTTGAGGAAACCCTTTACGTTGTCCCTGCTGATGGAGCTCATCTTCTCCTTCACGCTGCTGCCTCTCTTCTCCATGGCTCTGCGGAGGCGTCTCCTCAAGTCTCCTCTCTCGGGGAGTGGGGGTTTGTCCGTGTCCTCGTTCAGGAAAAGACTGGCACTGTTGGGGGGCTTCTCGCTCATAATCAGCTCCAGCACCTGGTCCAGGAGGCAGGTCTCGTGGGAAACTATTGGCAGGGAGCGGAGGATGAAAGAGAGAGATAATGGGTCACATATTTAGTTTTTCACATGTTCAATCTATAGGCAATGTAGCGTTAACTGAATTTGGAAAATATCAACTCATTGATAATGTCCAACAGAAAGCATCCGCTCCCAAACAGATGGAAGATTGTTGAGTGGAAACAGGAGGGAGCATCAAAAGGGCTGCTGTGTTTGAAATAATCAAGGCTATTGGGGACTGTTCGTTAGAAGTGGCATCTATTGATTTGTGGACAACAGTTTTAAGACTTGAGTTTGTCATTTTGGTTGTCTCCATCTTGGTTTTCAGCCTTACCAAAAGGACCACAATAAGGTTGAGCAAAGTACAACCATACCCCAAAATGTTACAATTAACTTTCATGAACTGAAAAACGTAAAAGGGTTATAGCTGAAACACTTAAATCAACCTACAGTAACATGACAACACCAGGGTAGCAACTTGTCAATCATAAGTAGCCAGAAAGCATATGCTGCTTTATCGTCTATTTAACCAAAAAATGGGACAATAGTTTACTAAATGAACATCACACTGTATTGAGGAAGATTTGAAACAAGGGATTGAGATCATAAACTCATTGGTCAAATGTTTACCAGGGTAATAAATCAAGTGAGAACTAGGCTAATGTTCTCATAGACTTCTATACAATCAGACAACATTCAAAGGTTAGGAATTGTTGAGGTTTTGTTTTATATCATTGCATTTGAAATATGTTGCATTATTCATTAAAAGTAAGCATTGTAAAGATATCACGTTGAAAATGTTGACGATTTCTATGATTTCTTAATTAAAGTGGACCTATCATGCTATATTGGAAACATATATTGTAGGGCCATACCTATACAAAACATGTCTGTGAAGTTTTTTGCTTCAAATACCAAACGGATCACCCATTGTAGCCATGCACAATGGGTGCACGTGCATGCGTGCGTGCGTGTTAAGTGTCATACAGTAAGAAACCAATGGATTAACAATGAAGGAATTAAACATCAGCTGCTAAACATAAACACAGAACACAGCCACGCTTATATATATATTATATACTAATTTAAATGATCATAACTTATAAATAACCAGAGCCTTAATCTGCATTAGGGATGAGTGTTATTTATTTAATTTTACAATACTGTATATCAAAATATCTATGGTTGTCCATCGTTAATAAATACATATTTTTCATTCAATCAAAACCTTTATAGCAAATTTAACATACATTTCCAAGTTCAATTATAGCTCATCAAACTAGCTGTTCAATTACTTTTATTTATTTATTGTATATGATGTTTATTCATATATATCACTTACAATTGTTCATTGTTTATTTGGCGCTATAGTTCTCAATAAAATGACAAAATATTTTTCATTTGTCAAGAATTAAATTCCCACAAAAACAGGCTTTACCATTTGGTTATTATATATATATTATTTTAATATTTTAAAACACCTGAAACAATGATGGCTATTGTTATCAAGATATGAAACTACCTTTATCATGATAGAAGATCTTTGGTTATATTGCACATGGACCATGAACCACCATTGACGACTGATAGCTAGTCATTTTAAATACTTGAAAATGCCATATTATCTTTTCTATTCACAGCATGGGTAGACAACATGTTATCTACCTGTATATTCCCTGTATTAAACCTGTATATTATGAGTTTTATTTGTGTCTCCAGTGCAGAAAGCCTTACTTCCAGTACAAAGAACTCCGGCTCAAACCACTCAGTCCTCTTCTGCCCGACGACCCAAACATCCAGCAGTAAATCACGAAAGACCAGTGATAAACATTTAAACATTAAACAGCACGGTAACGAGGGTCTGTCACAGTAATGGAAAGCTTAAAAAACCCTGACATGCTTTTAAAAATACAAAAAAAACATCCCCATGCAGCTCCAGCAGAGATTTAAAGTTGAACTCAAACATCTCACACCTCGGCAGAAAGCCTCTTCAGACCGACGTGTTAAAATATCCCAGAGAGCAGAGACCTCTTCTCACACATCTGTAATTCTGTAATACTGTCTATCATGTTGGCACAAAGTATGATCTGTTTTCAACAAAATTTGTCCCCTTGAAATCATAGAGGGTAGAGGTGTAATACAGCACACCTTATATACTGCTATAAACGTACTTTAATAGGGCTGTGACAATATCAGATTTCCACTAAACGACTATTATGGCCAAAATAATTCAAAAAGTGTTGTTCGTGCTCTTTTGGCTTATTAATTACACTAGAAATAGGAATTACAGAAAGTGTGGAGAGAGTCTGTTATGAAATTAACGAAAGCAAACCAAAACAACAATTACACAGTGTTATAATATGTCTATTACTAACATGATGTCTCTATTTCATATTTTAATTTCACGGCTATCGTGAATTCTGCTTTATTGCGACACCTCCATACTATAATGTGAAAAATGTCTCAATGAAGTATCAGTTTCTCTGTCCTGGTAAAGTCTAATATTAAGTTTTCTCTACATAATCAGATGAAATAATGTCCCTCTAATGTTAGTTACTCACCACTCATGGTGTCCAACAATCCAGAGAAACTTCTCAAAGAATAAAGAGTCCGGACGGAGCCGAGAGACACAAAGACAGAGCGTCGCTGAGCTCTCTCTCTTAAGCAGACGGACATGAAAAGACCTGACCTTACACACGCACGCATGCAGGCACACACACACAAACACACACACAAACACACACACACGCACAGTGAACAGCCAACCTTTCGCAGTCTACGACAAGTCCATCAAAGTCAAATCCAGACATCAAGCTACCGTCCACAAATTCATGTTATATGTCACGATAGATATTTAATAGAAGAAACCAATACTGCGGAGATTCCACATTTCATAATATACAAAAAAAAACGTTATTTTTCTACTCTATTGCCATCTGTAAACTGTTCCTTGTTGGGAATTTAAACAGATAATAATGAGCTTTTTGTCTATTTCTTATGGCTGTTAAAGGTCCCCTATCATGCAAAATGCACTTTTTTATGTCTTTTATACATAAATATGTGTTCCCGAAAAATAAAAATAAAACCCTCTCTCTTTTCCTCCGTACCTAAATCTCTAAAAACGGGGGTACAACGGAGCTGATTCAGATTTGCGTCCGATATGACGTAATATCTGAAATGTGGGCGGGCTTTACACCCACGGCCCTATCAGAAACGTTGCTATCAGAAACAATAAGACGTGTTTTGGAAGTAATTTGGTCTTTGTTTACGTTAGCAAGCATTGCTAACACTCAGAGCTAACCTGTACTGGAGAGAGTATGTGCTACGCATTGAGCACACCATATTGCAACTCTATTGAACTCGCTTCGGCTGCTAACCGCTAACCGTAGCTAGCCCTCCTCCCGCTGACTTCAACCCAGATTTGTTGTTCTCAATGTCGCCTTATCAGGAATAAAATAGGGTGCGTAGCCTAGATGTTACAGTAGCGCTTCACTGCAACCCAAAGCATCAAATAGTGAGGCTGGTTACAAAACGAGAGCAAATCTTGCGTTGTGTTTTAACTGCTGGCTAGCATTGTAAAACGTTTTGAACGGAGGATATGAAGATAATCCTGTACATTTTTGTATACAACTCCAAGAGGCTTTTTGGTTCATCTCCGCACTTTAGATATCATATGCGTAGTATATTTTGTCTGTTTACGTGAAAGTGAAAGTCGGGGAAGTTTACCTAAAAACGGAAGTGGGCGTGGCTTGCGCATTTTAGCTACAAACAATCACATCATAAAATCACAACGTAAAAAAAGCCAGTTGAGTAGCACTTGAAATGTTTTGGCTCTATGAAACCTGATGTACTTATATGATTCTGTTTTCTTCAAGTTTGTATCTTCTTGGTCGAATGCACTTATTGTAAGTCGCTTTGGATAAAAGCGTCAGCTAAATGCAATGTAATGTAATGTACAGAGTTGGGTGTAACTGTAATAATATTACTTTTGTCGGTAACGGAGTAGTGTAACGCGGTACTTTTATAATTCAGCAATCACACTACAGTTACTAACATTGCCCCGACACGCGTTACTTCGTTACTTTTATAAAATCAGTCATAATCACACTGACAGACAAGAGGGGTTTCCGCCGCAGGTTTATATGTACGTAATCTGCGCGACTTGCGCAGATTACACATCTCCACGTGCAGTGCTGCATAAACATGGCTGAGTCAGCGATATCTTTCGAGGGGTGGAGGTATGCCCATTATTTTGAGTTCGTCCGAAGAATAGACAGGAATGTGACGGTGAGGTGCAAACTGTGTCCAGGCCAGAAGCTGTTATCCACTGCTGCAAACACCACGTCAAACCTCAACAAACACCTGCAAAGAACACATGCTAAGGTGAAGCTCATGTAAGCATTGGGTTGAGAGGTCATGTGTTGTGAGCATGCGCAGTCGGGGCTAGAGTGGTGTGTGACATGTGTGTGACTCGACGTTAATAAACGGAGGCATCTGTGACGCTCCAAAAAGTACTAAGTTCCTGAGTTCTTGTTACACAGAAGTATTCTTGAAGCCTTAACACCTCGGACGTTACATTGGTGGCAGCGGTATCGGAGTGTGTTTTATCTGCTCTTGGATTTTTCTTTTCTGTGGACAATTACTGGACTTTCTGGTCGGCTCTGCTGGCTAGCTGTGCTAACGGTGCTAGCGTCGAAGCGTCATGTTCGGAGGAATGAAGGGAGACGGCGATATGGAAGACGATTATAACGGATGTACTGCTGCTTGGACTGGTTCTGTGAGTAGTGATATTAGAGTGGAGCTGCCGCCGATGTTTAGGGGCGACGGCCAGAGGCAGTTCGCTACGTGGATAAGACAGTTTGAAGCCGCTGTTCGTGCTCAGACGAGGGGTGCGAGGGGCACGAGCTACGCAGCTACCTTGCTGAACATTCTACCTACCAGACTGGACGGTGCAGCTTTCCTACTGTGGGACAGTTTACCGGCAGATGTGCAGGGTGATTACGAACGT